TATTTTATTGATTTGTTATTAATTTAATTTTATGTAAAAATTTTTTCAGTTTAATTACGATTGGAAAATATTTAAAAGTATTGTATTTTTAATGTTATATTTAAAATAAATATTTTATATTATGTATATAACTAAATCATATTAAATTTAAATAAAATATAAAATTACATTTTTAATTTTTTATATAAAAAAATATAATATATATCTTTTAATATGTATGTGCTATTGAATTAAGTTATTTAAAAAAAACAAATTTACTGGATGTGATTTGCTAATTTAATATAATTAGTAAAATATTAATATTTGTTTATTAAAATTAATTAAAGTTACAGTTACCAAATATATAATTATGTATCTTATTATAGCTTTTAAATATATTTAAATAATATATTACTTTTAAATACTTTACTTAATAATTAAACTGATTAAAATCATATCATGTTTAACACTAAAACTAATATATAATTAATATAAATTTAAAAAATTAATTAAAACTATTCAATAAATTCTAAAATAATGTAAATTTTTATTTTTGTTTTAATTAATTTTTTTCAGGAAATTATTTAAAACTTTATATTTTATAACATTACAACAGTAAATAAATTTTTTTTAATATGAATTTAATATTAATTAATTATAATCGCTTATTGTATACATTTATTATGAAAATACTGTAACTTATAATAAATATAATTTGAATTTTATTTATTATTAGTCATTATTTGTTATTATTAAAAATAAATTCTAGATTTTCTAAGTAAACTGTATTTTTTTTTATATATTTATATATATTAAGTATAATATTTTAAAATTACAAATCATTTTAATTAATTAAAAGTAAATTAGTTAAGCGGCATAAGCGGATTAATTTTTAAAAAAAATTATTTTTCTTTTACTTTTGTAATTTAATAAAATATAAAGTTTTAAATAATTATAATACTAAAGTTAAATTTTAAATAAAAAAAATTATTTTAATGAATCTAAATTATTATTATAACTTTTTATTGATTAAATTTTAATTTAAAATTTACAGTTTAATTTCAGGAAGATTATGTTAATTTTATACTAATTATAATCAACTTTAACTTTTTATAAATTATAATTACGATAGTAAATTAAAAATTTACTATTTTAATTAAAAAGTATTGTTATAAAATTTTATATAAAACTATTAATAATACATTCATTAAAAGATTTATATATTTTTCTATAATGATTTTATATTGAAAATAATTGATAAACTAACACAAAAAAATTTTTATAAATAGTATACTAAAATTAATTTTTATATAATTTTAATTGATAATTATTATAACTATAAAATTGTTTGTATTGAATTTACATTCATTAAATTAAATAAATAAAATGCATTATAATAAAATTAGTTTTTTTTAACATGTATACATTATAAAAATTATATTATATGATTAATAAATATATTAATTAATTAATAAAATTTTTAATTTAGATAATAATATTTTTTAAATATTAATTTGTAAAACCAATAAAAATTTATGTTTTTATATTATACCTTAATTTGATAATCAAAAATTATCATTAAATTTATAATATGTAATTTTAGACTATATGTTAGTATAATAGTATTTGTTTTTAAAAAATATATTTTCCTATTAGGTTTTCGGTAACATTATAAAAAACTATTTAAATTATATTATTAATACAGAATTATTTTTATTATATAAATTAAATAATAAAATATTTACACTAAAAAGTTTTATATTATGTAAATATATTTAAAAATATAATAAGATAAATAAATATTTGGTAACTGTAACTATAATTACATTTAATAAACAAATATTAATACTTTACTAATTATATTAAATTAAATTGGATGACCGAGGGGTATTTTTAATTTTTTTTTAAATAACTTAATTAAATAGCAAAACTTATTAAAAGTTATTATACATAATATTTTTTTATACAAAATAAGTTATATTATAAAAAAAAAGTTTATATTATAAATTTAAATTCAATATGATTTAGTTATACATAATTTATTATATTAATTTATTGACATTATATTAATAATATAATACACTAAATAACTAATGCATTAATTAATTGCAATAATAGTGTTCAATCAAATTCAAAAATATTTTTTTATAATAAATTTAATCATCACAAATTTAATATTTTAAAAATTAAAATGATATGTTATTTAAAAATATTATATTTTAATTAACAGTTTAATACTAAAAAACTATTATTTTTTTTAAAGCAAAATGTATTTTTATATTTATTAATATAATTTTGAGTAACATTTTGCGTTCAAAAAAATAAATTATAATACTGTAAACTGTAAATTAATATATAATATTTTTTGAAATCATATATCATTTTAATTAATTAAATTAAAATTAGATAGGTATAGTATTAGTAACATAAAAATAATATTTTTGATTTACTATTGTAATGATATATAAAATATAAAGTTTTAAATAATTTTCTGAAAAATATTATTTAAAACTAAAATTAAAAAGTTACATTATTTTAGAATTTATTGAATAGTTTTTATTAATTTTTTTAAAAGAAAATTTATATTAATTATATTTTAATTAGTGTTAAACATTGATGTGTTATCAATGATTTTAATCAGTTTAATGATTAATTAAATGTTTTAAAAGTATTATATTATGTAAATATATATTAAAAATCTATAATAAAATAAATATTAACAATAAATAAATATATATTTGGTAACTGTAACTTTAATTACATTTAATAAAAAAAATATTAATACTTAACTAATTAAATTAAATTAGCTAGAACATTTCATAGGAATTTTTATTATGTTAATTGATTTAACTTACAATTAATAAAAAAAATTTATATTTGTCTAGATATTTGTATTGTCTAAAAATAATATACTTATTTGTATAAATTTATTAAAATATACAGAATATTATATTTTTTGTGACAATAAAAGATATCTAATAATGTAATTATAATTATATAATAATTAACTTTATTTATATATAATAATTATTTTTTTTTAAATATAACTAAAATTTTCTAAATGTATATAATAATAATAATAAATATTAAAAAATGTTCATTTTATCAAAATAAAATGTAGAAATCAAATATGTGTAAATTTTGTTTATTATATGTATTAAATAATAATATACAGTTTTTTTTTTAAAATATTTAAACTGTAATATTTATAGTTAATTTTTTATATAAATAATTACAAACATATGTATAATATATTTAGCATTTAACGTATAGCGTCTAAAATTTTTAGTCAAATTAGTGAAAAACAATTTAAGTAAATTAAATTAAATTAAATAATTTATTATAATTTTAAAGTGTAAAATATCATATATTTTATTAGGATAATATATTTTTGTTTATATATATATATATATATATTAAATAGACTATTAATTTAATACAATAATAATAATTTTTTTTTAAATCTATTAATTTAATAAAATTAATTTCAATAATTTTTTTTCTTAAAATCTAATATTTCTTTTCTCAACATTTATATATTAATTAAATATGCATTTATTTATTGCTAATTATTACAGATTTTAACAAATATTATTTTATATAAAAAATTAAATAAATAAAATAGTTAATTACTAAAATAAATAATTAATTATATAAATGTCTATAAAAAATGTTTACCATTTTATTGTCGTATACAATGCTATCTCCGGTGACCATTGATTGACATAAATATTAGTTGTCACTGAAAAAACGGGTTTCCCGTAAAGATTTCACTAAATAAATTGTTTTTAACTATATTTTTAAACAATTATTATAAGTTTAAAAAAATAAACAATTTTCACATTTTATATATAGACTTATTTATATTGATAATTGGAAAATAATTTCTATATTAAATAATATATTTATTTTGTTTTAGTTTAATACAATTATAAAATTTAATAATATAATACTCATGTTTAATAAAAAAAATATAATTTTTTAAAACTTTAATATACTATATACTACAGTATTATAATATAATATATATTAATAACTAATAATTTTATATACTATTTTTGTTTAACTAAAAATAGTAGCATGTTTATTAAATTATTTAAAAAAATACAATAATTTGTTAAAGTTTACTAATATAATTTAATAATTTATTTAAAAGAAAATTTATAAATTATACACAATTGATCACAAATATATATATATAGACAGCAGTTAATAGTTGTAGTCAATACAAAAATAAAAAATAATTTTTAAAAAATATAAATTATTTTTTTTTTAAATTTTTGTTAAATTTTTTTTTGTATTAATGACTACAACAATCAACTGCTGTCTATAGCTTATAATTGTATTAAACTATTAATTAATTAATTAATTAATTAAAATTACTAAAAATATAAACAAACTGTATATAAGCTTAGTCTATAGTTAATATATATTACTCAATTTTTTTTATCATTAATTTTTTAAGTTTATTATTTTGGTTTTTAACATTTTTTATTTCACCCCACTGTCTATACTGTATATTAGTATTTAATTTTGTCTTAACATTTACTTATTAACTCGATAAACAAATAAGATAAAAAAATTAATTTTAATTAATCATAATATTAAAAATACTAAATATTTTAGTTAAGTTTTATTTATTTTATATTTAATATAATATTATAGCTATTATTAATTTTTTTTATTTTAAAAATAATTTAAGAAATTTTGTTTAATTATAAAAATTTTAGTCTAATTGTTTCAACAACAAAAAAAATTACTTAAATAATTATAATATATTATAATTAACAAAAAAAAACTAAATATTAACTGATATTAGTTTTTATGTAAAATATTTTTTTTAATGATTTAGAAATTTAAAATTTTTTTTCAAAGAAATTAAATATTAAATTAAATATTAGTTTCTTTTACGAAAAAAAAACAAAATAATTTTATTTTCATTTAAAAAAAATAAAACACAATTTACAACAACAAAAATATCATCAATTATTTAATTAAAAAAAATTAATGAATTTTTTAGTTTATCTACGATAATCAGTATACGGTTGGTTAGGATTGTTTAAATTATTATTATTATTATTATTATTATCCAATGAATAATCAATTTCGATAGTCTTAATTGGTTTCTGTTTTTTCAACGATTGTGTCGAATAGGTTGATAGGGGGGGTCCGGGCAGTCCAGGTCCGGGAGGTGCCGGTGATCTATGATAGGGTAGTGTCGAGTATGACCGATGATGATCGGGTATATAGCTATCGTTATGATAGCCAATGTCACCGCCACCTGTATTAGCCGGTGACCGCAAATCACCGTATGATTTATGATGAGATCGGATCGGATTAGACTTTAGGGTCGTATCGTTGATCGACATACGCGACCCCCCGTACCGGGAGTTGGCTGTAGTCCAGTCAGCCCTATAGGGGTCGTACTCGTCGACCGTTTGGTCCGGTTCTTGTTCTTCAATCTAATTGTATATTTATTTTTAAAAAATATATAATATAAAATAAAATTATTAATTTATTAATTAAATTTTTGTTGATTTTTTACTATTTATAATTTTAATTTTTAATAATTAATAAAAAAAATTTTGATAAAAAAACTTTTTTTAATAATATTTTTAAGTAACTTTTTTAAAATAATATTTTTAAGAAACATTTTTTAATATAATATTTTTAAGTAACTATATTTTAAATAATATTTTTATGTATTTACTTTTTATATAATATTTTAAATAAATATTTTTTATAAATATTTTTATATTATTATTGTATACTTTATATTATTGTATACTTTATACTATTAATATTATAAATAGATTTTTTTATTTACTAATTTATTTATTTAATAGAGAAATTAATATTAAAAAAAATTATTAATTATAAAATTTAAAAATATAATTATTTTTATTAATTATTTTGTTTTCAAACCTCAGTTTTGATGCACCGGCAGGTCAGGGATGAACACATAAACATATTAACCAATAACATCAATAACAATAGTATGGCTAATATTATACATAGTGTTATAAGCCATGGGAACCGCCATTCAGTACATTCCGATAGGTTTTCCAGTGTTACTGTAATTATTTTAATTAATTAATTAATTTAAAAATAATTAATTTAAAAATAATTAATTAATTAATTTAAAAATAATTAATTTAAAAATAATTAATTAATTAATTAATTGGGTTAAGTGGAAACTATATATAATTAATATATTTAAATTATTATTATATAGAAATTATTAATATAATTTAGTTACAGTTTTTTTATATTAAAATTAATTAATATTTAGTTAGTTTAGTGATTAAAAAGTAATGTTACTTAAATGTATTATTTTTTTAAAAAAATTAATAGTATTTTATTTTATTAAAAAATGTAATTTTGAAAAAAATCATTTAAATATTTTGTTAATAATTTTTTTAATTATCACTAATTATCTAAATTTTATTAAAATTAATAATTTTTTTAAATATTTGTAAACTTGAATTATTAAATAGTATTTGTATACAAAAAATATATATATTAAACTTAAAGTTTAATTTATAAAAATTAGTAAATATATTGAATCTATAATATTTATAATCAATATATTTATTTAATTTAATAGATAATAAATTATTATAAAAAAAATTAATAATAAAATTAAATTATTTTTTAAAAATTTATAATTACATGACTCGTCTGATGGTTCAAAAACATAGACCGATGTCGACGCCGATAGCTGTGAATAGCCGTCTAAAGCCAGATCACGGCCACCCTTATGGCCTGAACCGGCACTACTACTACTATCGCATACCGGTTCCTGACAACCGCCCCGACATAGGACAGCGTCGCACTGTATATTCAATTTGTTTCCGTCGGGAAATTTGAACATTTCGTAGATTACCGATTCGGCCGAATCGGTCGAATTGTAGACAAACGGTGACATCAGGTCATCATTCACGGGACACCCGAACCGGTCGACCAGTTCAACCTGTCCTGACTTTTCGGCAATGTTTGTATAGTCATCCGAAAATGCAAAACAACTTTTCAAACGTAGAGATGTTATGCCTTAAAACAAATAAAAATTTATAATTTAATTATTTTTTTGTTTGATTTAAAAAAAATAAATTTTTGTTTGTTTGTTAACTAACTATCGTATGGAGTCAACTGTGCTCTCAATATATATGAGTTCCCATGTATTACACGTCCCGATCGTTGGCCATTAGTGTCGGTTAACTTTAGTGTTACTTTATATGTACCGCCACTTGAAATATAATAATTAATTAAATAATTAATTAATTTATGATTATTATAATTATTTAATGATTATTATACAAACTGTATAATTGTATTTATATTATTATTTTTAATAGATATAAAACTTAAAAAATTTATTTTTTAGTTATTATAAATAAAGATAATTATTTTTGGTTTTTATATGTTTAATTTTCTAATAAAAATAATTAAAAAATATTAATATATTTTTTAAAATTTAGTATCGGTCATACTATGTAAACAATTAAAATTAATTAATTAATAGTAATAATAATATATAATTAAAACTAATATTATTATAACTCTCTATGTATTTTTTTAATTAAAAATTTTTTTAGCTAATTAAAACAATTAACAAATTTAACTAATTTACTGATAATCTATTATGAGTCTATTAAAATATAAAACATAATTTTATTTTATTTTTTTTCTAAAAATACAATTATTATTATTACACTTTTTATATTTTAGCTTATATATGTAAATATGATTATTTGGATTTTATGTTTATAATTTTCTAATAAAAATAATTGAAAATATTAATATTTTTAAAAATAGTAATTTAGTATCGGTCATAATTTTTTTTTTAAAAATGTTGGTAATAATATTTCAATTTTCAAAAAATAATAAATTTAATTTTTTTTTTTAAATATCTAAACAAACTGTCTAATAATAATTTAGTATTTTTTGTAAAAATAATATTAAAACTCAAATTAATTATATTAGTATATATAACGCATTTGTATTTTTTAAATAAAAAAATAAATAAATTTCATATTAATAACCTATAAATTATTCATAAACTGTTGAATTAAATTATATTATTAATATTATTTAATATATAAACATGTGTATTAAAAAAATATTTAGAAAAATCAATTTCGACTTAATATATATAATTTAATTTATTTTTTTTTGATAAAAAAATAAATACAATTTATCGTTAATATTATTAAAAATAAAAATAATAATTACCGGACATTTTTATAAGCCGACTGTCCACAGGTTAGTATATAATTTTTATCGTCCGACAGTTCCAGTGATTTATGTGGTCTAACATTCAAATAGACAGCCCTTTCGCCCTAATTATTATTATGTATAACACAAAAAAAACACAAATAAATTTTTAAGTAAATCAAAAAATAAAATAATTTTTGTTTAAAACATAAATACATTAAAATATTAGTACAGTATTTCAATACATTATTATTATTATTACTAAAATTTATTTTCAAAAAAACAAAAACAAAATATAGTTAAATATTATAATTATAATTATTATTAATAATAATATCAAGTTTACAATAAGTATTAATTTTTTTTTCATACAAAATGTATTTTTTGGGTTTAATATTTGCTTTTTTTTATATCATATCTATATTGAAAAATGTAATTAAAATTATGAAAAAAATATATAAACTTATATAAAAAAAAATTTTCTATAAATACAGTGATATATCAATATATATTTGTATATAAAATACTATTAATAAAAAAAATTATACAAAAAAAAATTATTAAAACAATTTAAAGGAAATACTTTTAATAGTTTAACTATAATTTTTTTAAACATAAAATTTAATTAATTAAATTAATTTATTATATTATCAAAAAAAAAAATGTCTAAAACATTTACCTTATATTTTTGGACACCGCAATAGATTTCATCGTTTTCATTGGCCAATAGACTAACTTTCAGTGTAGTATTTAGGCTACCCTGGCCATCCACTAGACACGGGTGCTGGCGATGCTCGTGGGTATGGACTACACCCCAAAACGGCTGTTGGGTTACAACATTGATATACATTAGGCCGCGATCGCACCGGGCGGTCACCGACGGACTAAAATCGTCGCCCAATTGACAACACTTTAATCAACAAAAAAAATAAAAAAAATATCAACAAATAAATAATTAAAAATATATCAATAAATAGATAATCTAAATATATATCAATAAATAGATAATCAAAATATATATCAATAGATAAATAAAAAATATATCAATAAATAGATAAATAAAAATATATCAATAAATAGATAATCAAAATTTAAAAAAAAATAAAATTAATTTTATTACATAATTAATTAATTAATTACACTATTAAAAAATTTATTATAACTATATTACTAAAAATTAATTTTAGTGTAATTATTAGTATATTTTAATTTAATTATTTTATTTGTTTATAATATTTATTTAGCTATTTATTTAATTTTTTGTTTATATGTAATATTTTTTTAAAAAAAACTACTGTAACTAATATTTATATTAATTAATATAAATTAATTTTTAATATTTGGTTTTATTATTAGTCTTGTTTTTGTATTATTATTTTTTTAAATTTAGTTAAATATTTTTAGCTACAAAATTTTGATTGTAACTATTTTTTTATACAATTAATTTAGTATAATAAATATAATTTTTTTTAAATATTATTTAATATGGTATATCAATATATGTTTTTTAAAAAAAAATAATATCAAAATTATTTGCTATGTATATATATAAAAGGGTTATTCATTAATCTCGCGCATGGGGTTTTTGCTATAACTCTTAAGCGGAGTGAGATATATTAATTTTGTAAAAAGTGTATTAAAATATGATTTACGCGTAATATTATAAAATATAAAATTTTTAATTTTGATAACGTGATCATATTTATGCTGGGCTGTTTGTAAACCACTATGTCACAACCTAACCTATAAATGATAGAATAAAATTTCAATAGCAATTTTTTAAAGCCTGACTTGGAAATTATGGGAAGAAAATTTTTTTTAAATTGGTCGAAAAATAAATTTTTTATGGCTTTTCAAACTTGTGAAAAAACACATTATATAAAATAGTCAAAAATAAAATGACGTTATTTATAAATAGTATACACTTATAAGATAAAGATTTTAATACTATTACATATTTGAAAAACTAAATTTTTTTATGTCTAATATTTTTTTAGATAATTAAATTTAAAATTAAATTACATTATCAAATTATAATGCTATGTTTTTATTGTAATATTAATATCTAAAAAAATATTTGACATAAAAAAATTTAGTTTTTAGAATAAGTAATAGTATTAAAATCTTTATCTTATAAGTGTATACTATCCATAAATAACGTCATTTTATTTTTGACTATTTTATATAATGTGTTTCTTCATAAGTTTGAAAAGCCATAAAAAATTTATTTTTCGACCAATTTAAAAAAAATTTTCTTCCAATAATTTTCCAAGTCAGGCTCTACAAAATTGCTATTGAAATTTTATTCTATCATTTATAGGTTAGGTTGTGACATAGTGGTTTACAAACAGCCCAGCATAAATATGATCACGTTATCAAAATTAAAAATTTTATATTTTATAATATTACGCGTAAATCATATTTTAATACACTTTTTACAAAATTAATATATCTCACTCCGTTTAAGAGTTATAGCAAAAACCCCATGCGCGAGATTAATGAATAACCCTTTTATATATACAGTACAGTATATATATATTAAGTTATTTTAATGCTATGTGTTTATACAGTGTATATATATATATATATACAGTATATACTGTATTATCCATATATGGTTGGCTATAAGTTTTTATTTTATCAAAAAACAAATTGATGTCAAGTAAACGATTTATTAAATTAAAGTGTAAAAATTTTTAAATAATTTGTTACATTAAATATATATATATATATATTAAAGTCAATGTAATTAAGTATGTTTTTTTTAAAAAAAAAATTTTGTGTGTTAATTATAATTTTATAATAAAAATATAATTATTATATACTATAATACTATTACTATTTTTGATGATTGTTTATGATCTTGAACTTAATAGGCGTCAAAAATTAAAATTTTAGTTTTAAAAATATATACATTTTTTGAAATTGTAATAAATTTTATGTAATTAAAATATTTAACAAATTTTTATTATTATTAGTAGTAGTAAATTTTATGTTTGAATTAAAATTATTTACTGTTATTTTAAATAAAAAAAATTATTATAAATATTACTAATTTATTAGACATTGAAACTGTATATTTAGATTTAAATTAATAGTTTAAATTAGATTTTTATAAATAAATCTATAAAATAGTTAATACAATACTCAATTCATATTAAAAAAATAATGATTTTTTACAATTAATTTATGTTTAAAAATTTTTTTAGCATTTGTATAATTGATATATATTAATATGTAATTACTTTTGTAGATTAAAACAATATATTTTATTTTATATATTATTTATGTATTATTATTAGTAGTAGTAAATTGGTTAACATGTATTAATAATTGTAATTAAAAATATATCAAATTATTATATATAGATTATTTT